TATACAAAGAATGAAAGGAATTGATTTCTTATGAAATGTAGATCTAAAGTAAGTCTACAAGATGCTTACTTGCAGATCCCCAGTCAAATCTGCATTCTTTCTAGAAACTGTAGATTACAAATCCCTGTGCCATAAATAAAAACTGAGTAACAGGCTGCATCAAGAGCTCCTTCTAAAATGAAACAAGAAAAACGACATCCTTGTTCACCGGCGAGTCCCTTGAACTGAGTCAATCTTCCCAAACGCTGGACCATGCATGACCTCTGCAATTATATTTTTCTCAATTTCAATTCTGAGTTTCATAAATTTCGTTAAAGACCTGAAAAAAAAAAGAAAAAAAGGACATTTCGCGGCTAAGGATAAATAACCTTTTTAAGGGGTTTCAGCTGCCGGATGAACGAATAAATAAGGATAATATTATTAGAATGTCAGGACTGATTCAATTAAAATCATATTTATATCAAAGTAAGAATAAACACCAAAGCACTTCTTTTTGTGAAAGGTAATGACGAAAAGCTGCCAATGAGAAATATACAACCGAACTTGGTCCACACCTTTTGGAAGTCCTATGTTTAGTGGAAAAAAAGTGAACAATACAACACTTGCACATAGTAATTCTTTTAACTGAATCTTTTCAACGACAACCCTTCGTACGTTCAGTGAGCACAATCGTTGCAATACGAATCTTACCTTTTTTTTTATAAACGATTATTCAGAGATGCTTGCATGCTGTTATTACTTATAGTTGAACCCTGATGATGTGTTCGTTTACAGTCGCCATAGTGTAAAACGGAATCTAATATGGGGAAAAAAAAAACACCTGACAGTATTTTAAGGCTATTTGTACCCACCGGGCACCGCTTCTTTCCTGTGTGTCTTTAACCATAACGACGTGTTCAAAAAATGTTTTTAAAAAGTCATAAAAATTTACAACACCGGTGGATCTGATCTTATATGACTACGCTTAAATTTAACCGTAACGGTTGAAACGGGTAGATGTTAGGAGAAGGGTAACTCTAGACTTAAAGCCTTTCTATCCTTTGTTTTTGTGGTTATTCCTGATCAAGTTTTTTTTTTTTTTTTTTTTTTTTGTGGTTATTCCTGGCCATGTATTCTTTACGCCACGTCATAAACCTGCCAAGAGACAACAGAACGGCTGTCAAATAAAATACAACATTATATAGAGTAGATCGCTAACTTCAAACAACCTAATAAATAAACACTTAACCACCAACACTCGGTTTAGACTGGAGCGAAAACATAAATATAATAAACAATTCAAATATTTACAATGCAGGAAAAACATGGAAGACAGAACAGTTGCTCGAGTAAACGTAGACATTACTAGCACCAACAATAAGGTACACAGGAGCGAACCATATTTTTTTCTAATCGGAGTTGGGTCAGAACATCACCTTAATATTTATCCCATCTGCATACCTCAATCAGTGACATTATCATTAGCGACACCTAAAAGACACCGACAAACTCAGATTCTGTAAGCAAAAATTACTCGACATATGCTACTCACCGACCTGAAGTGTGCAGCTCATCTAAGTGCGCCAAGGTCATCTGAAAAAGATTAAAAAAAATATACACACATATATATATATATATATATATACATATATATATATATATATATATATATATTTTTAGAAAACCAGATTTTCAGAAGACTAGAACAGTCGAAGCTCACCAGGTCCTATGGATACAGGTCGTGACACAGGAAGAACATTGTTCGCTCGGTTTAAATTATTGACTCTCAAACGTGGGACACTTCTATTGAACCCTATCTGGCAACAACGGTGGTGCATTGTGCACCTTGAGGGTACCAGCAAAGGCGCTAAATATGTTCTACATTCCTATAATATCTGAATAAGTGTGCTGAGAGAGCCAGCAAAATGGTCTGCGCTAAGGCATTGAGCACCGTGAAACTTAATGTTCAGTGCCAAAACACAGATAATCTTTTTTTTTTTTTTAGGTTTAAAGATATTTTTGCTTTCGTCATTGGCCGAGCTCCATCCGTTGATCGCAGCGATTGGCCCCCCCAAGTGCTATGCAAATAAACAAAACTATATTTTTTTTCTTTGTATGTCGTTAGTAAGAAACATTAAGACAGTCGCCCTTGGAGTATAAAGCTTTATATATATACGAACTCTGTTCCCCCCTAAAAATAAAGAAAAAGTACGTTTTTCTTTGTGTTGCCACACAAGCTATAGATATGCTAGTTCAACACAGAATGAGCTCTCTTTTTTACGGTAATCACGGGCTTATAGCTTGATTATTGATCACACACATTAGCGTAAGGCGGTGTTTTGCGAACGCATAGTTTCACATAATCGTCCATCCTGCTTTAAAGTAGAAACAAAAATAAAGGACGCTCCGAGCCGTATGCATGCATGTCTGATTATGAGGTAGGGGCGAGGGCCTAAGATCGACTAGAAGGGAATACGAAGCAAAACTGAGCTGCGGAAGCTCGCAAGTTTCCCCTTCTTACGAGAAAGCCCCGCTTTCGAGCCATTAAAGCTTCCAAAGTTCATGCTTGAAGCTGATGTTGTGCGGCAAAGCCCCTATAACGAAGATATGTCGGCTCATTTTGAGCGAACGGTCTGTTGCCGCTTTCCTCGCTTCCTGGTCATGCGTTTACACGATGCTTCGCCAGAAAAAAAAAAAAAAGAAAAGAAAAAAGACAGGTTTGCCAAGTCGTCGAAGAATGTCTAGGAGCTTCATTAAGTGATGCGCATTTTGACATATTTTAGTATTATTAGAAAGTGTTCATATGCAAATTGTTTATTTCTGGAAATGGTTCCCCAAACCTTTCTTGAATGACACAATTCATAGTGTCTTTTATTACTACAGAGATACATGAAATTGTATTTTCCAACATGCTGTGTGCATACCTAAGAGAACTTGTAAAATAAATTATGTAAGTTGTCAAGACGTTGATGTTTCAGTCATAAAACTAACTGTCGCAAAAAGTAGCACCTGAAATATCGTCAGTTTCCAATGCCTGAAATTGTCCTTGTTATATTTCCGCGAAACACACCTGCTCCGTGTCAATGTAGCTTGGCAAAAGATGAATGCAACGGCCCCCGTTCTTCAAATTGTGAAGTATCCTGCCATCACAATTATTAATACCTTTTTTTTTTGAGAAGTAGGTCTTCACAACTACTCTCCAGCGCAAACGTTTGTAACATCTATTCATATAATAATAATAATAATAATAATAATAATAATAATAATAATAATAATAAGAATAATAAAAATCTGCCGCGAAGGGACGTTGTTTACACGCTCATTTTACTTTTTTTTTTGTAATTTTGAAACATCTTCACAGCTGGCGAAAAATGTTTTTTTTTATTAATAATGTCCTATGACAACCACATTTGGAAAGTAAAAGCTCGATAATATGTACAATGCAACTACCAAGGTTTAACTAAATGTATGTTTTATATTTATAAAGACGTAAAAACAAATTATTTTGTTACGCCTTTGAAAATTGGGTTTTTGCGATTATAATTTATTTTCTAATAACATCGTTCTCATACATACAATTTTTGTTCATTCCACTCAGTGGTTTAAAAGGAAAGAATTAGCCTATTTGCTAGGCCCTTTTAAGTGTGCTGCCATGTCTCGCTTGCATTCGAGAGTATGTTTTGTTTTTTGCACATGTATTACATCCAGAACATAAAAAATACAAGCTATATAAGAAGTTCAGAACACGGGGTATATACGAAAATAATATAAATCTCTCTAAACTGTTAAAAGTTCATTCAATTATCGAAAAAAAAAAGAGTTGCGCTTTCAGTGAAAGTTAACAAAGAGGTAGAAAAGTTGTCTCACTAAATATTTCGTCCGGAGATATTTACATTATTTCATCATCCCGGAAAATATTTTTAATGTTCCAAAAGGAAAAAAAATCGAAGGCAATAAATAAAAGAAGTCAAAAGAGAAAAACAAGTGAACGCACACAAATGAAAGCAAAAACTAAGTCGAAGTTGATCTAGGAGTTCAGAAAACTACTCTCTCAAAAAGGTCTGCAGGTTGACTGCTCTGAAAATACGAGATAGCCAATAACGGCGAGTGATAGAAGGATCACACGAGATAGCCAATGACGGCAAGTGATAGAAGGATCCCAGCGAATAACAAAGCTCGAACACAATTAAAGATGAAGAAAAAAAAAATTATTCGCAGGAACAATGAGCATGGCGTTTGAGCGTTCGACTTGCCGACTGTCCCTGCGCAAATTGCATTTTTCAGTATAACCAGATTCGTCATTCGCTCAAAATCTTACTGTATTTTTTTTTTTACTGGCTTTTTTTATGGGCTGCAGGAAGGGGAACTAAACAACTTTCTAATTCTGAACAATTACCGACAGTTTCACCCTTTTGTGGCCAAAGTTTTAAGGGAATGGGCAGCCTAATTTATTTAGTAATTCAGGCGATAGACTGTGAGGCGAGTGTCACACAACAAAACGTATTTTTACCCGTAGTGGTAAAAATACCGTAGTGGGAAGCATAGCTCCCAACCGTATTGGGAGGCATAGCTCCCATTGACCAATTTATGGACCATTTTCCGCGAAATTTCCAGAAGCGTGGCTCTGTGTAGATAGATTGGTGCGCAGCAGGCAGTGCATGTGCACATCGTTCTTTTTTCACGCTGCTAGCTACTACAGTGCCATCACCGGTGGAAGTTGGGGTTTTCAACTTTCTTCTTGGGCAAAATACGGCCACGGATAAGTTTATTTATTTCATTTATTTATTTCAAATACTGCCAAACCTTGCGGGTTATAGCGGGAGTGGATACAGCAATATATCAAACAAGATGCAGGTGACACAAGAAATTATCATAGAACAATCATTTTCACAGGTGCAACTACTCCTCAGCAAACCAGGTCATCAACTTTTCTTCAAATTTTTCAACAGAAGTGACGTCCGAAAAAAACACTTGGGGTTAATCTGTTCCATTCTTCAATTGTTTTGACAAGAAACGAATATTTAAAAAATATCGATATTGGGCATAAATGGGTCAACTGACAATTCATAGTTCAATCGTCGAGACCGTCTTCCAGGAGATCTGATATAAGTTTGCGTGTCAATATGGAGATACTTAAAATACAAAAAAAAAAAAAAAAAAAAAAACTTCAGCCGCGCAATTTTGCATCTTGATGCTAAGGAGGATGACTGGGCTTCCCTCAACAATGCCGAAACACACTCGTGTCTGTCGTATTTAGAAAACATAAGCCTTGCCGCTAGCCTTTGAATGCGCTCCACTTTATCTATTTGAGTTTGTGCGTGGGGGTGCCATATTATCGATGCATATTCCAATGTTGGGCGCACTAGAGTTTTATAAACGCTGGTCCGGATATCGGAGTTCGTCCCTCTTAGAGATCGCCTTTTAAAACAAAGTTTCCTATATGCTGAATTACATACATTTTCAACGTGCGTATCCCAGCAGAGATCACCCGAGATAGTAATACCAAGCTACTTATTAGTGTTAGAACGTTGCAAAACTACGCCGTCTATTTCATACGAGAACATCAACGGAGACTTCTTTTTGGTGATGCTTAAGCCAGTTGTTTTATTAAACTTAATTCGCATATCCAATTTTTCACACCAGTGAAATATAGTTCTCAAAGAGTCATTCAATAATTCTTGATCATCTACAGTTATTACGGGGATGTAAACAAAACAATCATCAGCAAACAAACGCACTTCTACAACTGGGTCGATATCTTTAGCGATATCGTTAACATAGACTAAAACAAAACTGGCCCTAAAACAGATCCTTGGGATACGCCATACCTGACCGGTAAAACAGATGACGCATGACCGTCAATTTCAACGTACTGTGTCCTATAAGATAAGCATGATTTGATCCAAAGAACCAAGTTCTTATCAACACCAAGAAGCAATAACTTTTCAACTAACTTTGTATGCATGACTCTGTCAAATGCTTTAGATAAGTCGACAGATACAACATCGACTTGGCCACAAACATTTAGCACTTTTCCAAACTGATTGAGTTCATTCCTGCGAAAACCGTGTTGTTTATCATAAAAAAGGTTGCTGTCTTCTAGAAAATCAACGGGATGCTTAGAAATGATGTGTTCGAACATTTTCCATGATGTTGATGTCAACGATATTGGCCGGTAGTTTTTAACTTCAAGATGGTTGCCCTATTTGTGAATGGGCACAACTTTGGCAATTAACCAATATTTGGTAAGCGAAATTTACCTATAGTCCGTTACAAGTCAAGAAGGTAGGAGAAGCTCCTCCCACAAGCGTGATGCGCCCGTTTCAAATCTCTCCGCAGTCGAAAGAAGAGTTCACTGGAAACGCTCCTTGTTCCGCTTCAATGGATTCCAACTTGACTCCAATCCCACTTTTTAAGAAGGCGACTTTTTTGTATTTATTGGAGGGGGACGGAGCCCCTGAAATCAGCCTTTGTTTCCATCGGAGGGGGAAAAACTAATCTCCCTCTCGTGACTTCCACAATGCTAAGTCAGAGTCTAAAGAAAAAGCAAATATGTACTAAAGGAAAGACCCTCCTCGTGCGTTCGCCGCGACGTCACGGAAACGATGGGACGCTATTGGATACGGAGGTGGCGGAGGGATATCTGATTCCCTTTGAGGGGCATTTGCCGTTACCTTCTTAACCTGTAACCGACTATAGCGACTTTTGAAAGATAATGGTCAAAAAGCGTGAAACCGGTTCGCAGTAACGCCTCAAGAATTCATTTGGGATTTTATCTGGTACCGGTGATTTTTCGTCTCGCATGTTTCATTCTAGAAAAAAAAAAAAAACAACAAAGCTCATCTTCCTTGTCTCTGGTCACGGTATTGCACAAAAACGCAAGCGTCCACAACTTTAAGGTCCATCAGAGTTTGGCTCTACAAGCAAAATACGGCTTTCCTTAATTAAGACGCACGAAGGTTTTGAAACCGGACAAAAACAAACAAAGCGTTACCTCTATCTATCTACGAGCCCCAGCACACGCACTTGCCGAGAAATGAAGATAACTCGAAATCTCACTCCTTGAAATAAAAAGAAAAAGATTTTGTTTTGTTTCGTGTGTTCAAAAAAGGACATGCCGCACTCCAAAAGTGGGTAAGCGGGCATCCGAGTGGCCATGTTCGCCGCACTTATTTTTCTCCCGGATAAATATACTGCCCCCCCCTCCCCCCCCCACCCCTTCTCGCCACGAAAGGGTTAAGAAACGAAGAGCATGGGCCTCTTATATGATCTCGCTTCGTGAATGGCTCTTTGGTGTTCTTATCGTCTAATGTCGCAGTCTTGTTGGCTGTGGAGCGATAATAACAACATGCCGGCGACTCGCCACGTCCTGTGTTTCTTAAAGGCCGACGAAAAACCAGAAAGCAGAAAACCCTCCCTCCATTCCTCCTTTCCATTCGAAAAAGAGGGAGATCTTTTTTTTTTCTGCGAGGACCAACTGATGAGAGCAACCTCGGAGACCCCCTCCGGTGGGGAGAGGATAAGACAGAAGGGAGAGAAGGAAACTGGGAGCCGGTTTTCTGCCCGGCAGAAGACGATTCTGTGGGTCGGGCTTTGAGCTGTCGGCGAGTATTCAAGGTGTTCCAAGTAAACTTCTGCCAAGTCTTTAAAAAAATAAAGCTGGCGAACAGTATGCGTGTCGAGCCAACGCAGCATTCTTCACAATCCTATTGAGCGAGTCAGGAATTTGTGTGTGTGTGTGTGTGATGTGCCGAATTTGTTAATAAAAGCAGATTAACTATAAAGATTATTTATTATTAATTTTTTGCGCGGACTTTATAGTGCAAAAAATTGTGTTGAAAAATATCCCATCTTGTCGTTTCCACCAATGTGGTCTTTCTGTATCTAATTGTTTTAAATACAAAAGAAAAACACACGAAAATAAAAATACACAAAAAACCATATTTCACGTGGTTACCCGCTAGCGAACTGCGATGTGATAGCGTCCTTAGCCAAGTGAATTTTTTTTAAACCTACTCCGCTTTCTTTCAAACGACGCGGCATGATATTATGATTCACTATAAACTATCGGAAACGACACGATGGAATATTTCTCAGCAGGCTCTGCGACTTTTGTATTGAACGGCTTGAGGACAGAAATGAATGTTTAGAAAGTTTGATAAGTAATATGTGCTAATTAGCGAGTTTAACACATCGCAAAGAAATATTTTAACTTTCGCATTAGAACTGTGAAGAACACAGCGTTGGGTGGACACATGTGGCAACAACTTTTCTCCAGTCTTGGTTAGCTAGAACAGCCCGCGCAAAAAGAATCGATGTTAATATTTCAGGTTATTTGTTATTTTAGGCACGTAGCTGGGGGGGGGGGGGGGGGGCGGGCATGGGGCCCGGGCCCCCCTCGAAATCTTCCATTTTGCTCGGACTTCCTCTCCCCCTCCCCCTCATACAGACTTTCGTCATGAGCGCCCCCCCCCCCTCCCCCGAAACAAAATCCTGACTACGTGCCTGAGTTAATTATAATACTATAATGCCGCAGTGCCTTTACGAGAAATGGCACAGAAAAGAAACCTGCCTAAAACAAATAAAGTGTTACCAAAATGTTTGGACCGTTCCGTTTGAAGCCTGAGGCCCTCAATATATATAGGGTGTCCCAAGTCACCATGCTCGATCTAAAATGGACCGTCAAAATCGCCGCCTGCACCTAGCAATCAAGACATCTCGTGAAAGGTGTATTTTACAGGCCGGTTTTTTCTTGTAAAACTACAAAGCGTAGCTCTCTTTCTGCCAAAAAAAAAAATAGGGCCAAAAAACTTGCCAGGGTCAACGGCGGGCGGCGACGCAGACGACGGTGTCGAGTTTCGGGAAGCGTTTAGCGCTCGTATTGATAGATGGCGCTAGCTCTTTATCGAGACTGCTCGCGACTACCGTGGTGTATTAAAATGAACATAAGCTTTTTGTAATGTAACTTTTTTTTAAAAATAAATGCGGACAATAAAAACAAAACTTAAAGTAAAGCGCGAAACACATGAACGACGAAACCGTCCAATCCGACGTCCGATCAGGCAATACGACGGTCGGAGGCGAGGGTTTTCAACGCTCTCTGGTGCTACGGAAACCCTCTCCCCTCAAGGTCATTCCGGCAGTCTGCACGTCGGATCGGAAGGTTTCGTCGTACATGTGTTTCGCGCTTAAAAGAAAAAGTATCTCAATAACGATGGTGCTTCTGCTGCCAATGGATTTCGTCTGCGTATCGTCTACTTTCTTTCGCTGGTCGGCTATACCTTCGGGCGCTGCTTCCGACGCCATCTATCAATATGCACGCCAAACACACCTCGCAACTCGACTCGGTCGTCTGCGTCGCAGCCTTCCGTTGACGCGGGCAAGTTTTGTGGTCCTAGTTTTTTTACCGAAAGAGAGCTACGCTCTCTAATTTTGCAAGAAAAAACCGACCTGAAAAATACACCTGACAAAAAGTTTTTTTTTTTTTTTTTACGGTCAATTGTAGATTAAGCCTGGTGACTTGGAAGTTGGGACACCCCATATATAAAAAATAGTAACGGATTCATTCATAGAAAGAAGAAACACAAAGTAGTATGTCATGTTTCCCCACACAGCGACATTTAAAGGTCGCGTACTGGAGACATCGAGCATGGGACTGTCATTCTTATAGTGACATTCAAAAAAATGTAAAAAGATGGAGGTACAAAACAAGAGTATTATAAGCAATCGCAAAAATGCACACACGCACGCAAACACGAGCGCACGCACGCACACACTTACCCACGAAATTGCTAAACATATACATGGCCTGCGCAGCGAACGCGAGATAGCAAATGGCTTTCCTATGATTTTTAACGTAAATTATAAATATAAAAAAGGCAGCACGTGCATGGTGAATGACCCTCGACCGGTATCCTTCTGTGATTTGTCAAAAGTATCGGTAACCCGCGGGTATGTTGCACCAGTCTTGAGGAGTACGCGATACTCGCACCGTGATACTGTAACTCGTTATTTTTTCTTGTAACCTTTAAATGTAACTTCTTACATTCTTTGTCGAAAAAGTAACTAAAAACTACTTGCTAAGATACAGATAGTTTTCGCGATAAAATTACCTTATTTTGTGACGACTACAGCGGGTTCGACCAAGTGCTGAGGTTGGGCCCCACATTAGACGGGACAAAAAAAAACAAAAAAAAAAAAGAAACAAGAACTCAAAACGTTTTTTGTCGGAGCACAGTGCGGGCGCAGAGGACCGACGTTTTTCTACTTCTGTTCTTACTTTTCAGCGCGCGGAAAATCGCATTTAGTATTTGCCTTATTTCAACCCTTTCGTGCGTGGTTCAATCGCCCCGTCTTCCCCGTTTCCGGCCTCGCTGAATACTCCAGCCGCATCAGTCGAGGGACAGAGTCACCTCGCGGAAACACGCGACGCGTGGACACCTAACGGTGAACTGTTGAACGCCGAACGAGAGCCTGTGTCATCGGTGCCAAAGCA